TTGATCGGCGCAAAGAAAAAATATTTAATTGATTGGAACAACATGACAAAGGGTTGGAAAGGGTATTGGAGGGAACCTATAAAACTTAAATGGCACTTTGAAGTGGCAAACAGAACACCAAGACTTAACATCAGTGACAGGGTATAGTATAAAAGAGTCACCATTGTGACAGTAAGAAACACGCCTTAGAGTAATATGGATTTTATTGTTTTTCCTTTTTTTAATATACAACAAATATTAAAGAGGATAGTGACATGTTTAGAATATTTATGCTTTCAGGTGTCGTTAACGGCAACATATGAGGACTCTAGTCCCTAGGATCGAAGCTCAGTATTAGGGGATCTACTATGTGATTTAAACAAAATGGGTCGATGACCTTTTCGCATTACATTTCTTGCTACATTTTTCTACTACTTTTTCCTTTCTTTATTCTTCTTTCAGTTTTTTTTTTGTCTGTTAATATTTAGAGAACACTTTCGAGGAATCTTTGCTCTACATGGGAGTTTGATGGTGTTCACAACAGATAATGGACATGAAATATTGATGGCCCACAGACATTAGCTAAGAACTTTTTTACCATACTGAAAGCGCTATACCAGAGCAGAAACCCAAGCTTTAACAGAGGAAAGGAGTAAGCAAATGTCAATTCCATGATATGATGAGTCGCTAGGAATTGGTGACGATGAAATATGGTTGAAGAGCTTAAAGTAACTTGTTTCTGACTACTAATCCAAATTGAAGCGAGATTTGCCAGTCAATATAAATTTAAGTTGTGAAGACACCAGGTTCCATTGCCACTCCCTCTCCTAGTTGCCATAGGAATCCTTCGTAAGAGTTTTCACCCAAATTCTTCCAACAACTTTTAATTAAACTGCCCCGATATTTAATTTATTAGTAGGAAAACTTAAAATTATCTTAATAATAAAAAATTGGTACTACATACATGCCAAAAGGACTATATTATACCGTTCAAAATTATTGTATGCCATACATTCTAAAATCTATTGCCGACCATTAAATTTAGAAAATAACCATTATAAATCAGTCAATGGTCTGATATTATATTAAAAAAGAATTTTTGGTAGAAATCATAAAGAATAAATCGACAACTTTGTCATCAACGCTTGCCTGTTCACATTTAATGTTTATATTATAATAATGTTTTTTTTTTCCTATCAAACCTTGAGTCTTGTCTACAATCGGTTGTTTTCCGTTAAAAGTGCCACCATCTTTGCCCTATTTTTGACACAAACCAATATTAACATATTTGGTCAAAAAATAGGACAGCTCTCTACTAGCTGAGAGGACTAATATGATATAACAAAATTGGATTTTTGTTTAAGTGCGTAGTGTATATGTCAAGTTATAATAAAATATAAAGGGTTTATTTATACTATTTTATATTTTAAAATCATCAGTCCTAATTATCACCTTATTTGACTTGAACATATTGACGGGTGAGTATATTTTAGGCGTCCTTAAAGTATATAAATCCAAAATCTTATTTAGTTCTAAACTATTAATTGAATCCTATTAAGTTGCCCTAAAATATTTAATTCAAATATTATTTAGTTCCTTGAAAAGATTATAAAAAAATAATACATTAATGTTTCATATAAATAATATAATATAAATTAGTCATAGAAAGAATCCCTATCCTATTAAGATTTTTATTTCATAAAAAGTTTAATTTGTTTTCTATTTTGTTATAGTAACATAACAGGCTTCTTCTCGATTAAATATAATTCAAAGACTAAGGTAGACAATTTTGTCAATTAGATTTAATGGAATTAAAAGTGTATTAAACCTTTAAAAAATTCATTTTTTAAGTTTTAAAAAAAAACAAATCATTTTGGCCTTCTCAGTATACAATCTATAATTTTTTTATTTTTACAAAATTATAAATTGTTGTTGATAAATTGTAGTTTTTGAATCTTGGTAAGTTGTTTTGGGCTAACATAAAACTTGATTTTTTTTTTCCTATAGAATTTTCCACTTTTACCGAAAATTTGAATTAAATTTTTATTGTAAACTTGTTTTGTTAATATGTGATTAAATAACAGACTTGAAAAGTAATATATTAATTAAAAATTCATATAAGACGTTTTTGATGATATGTGGGCGCAAAACGTCACCGACATGTAAAATGATAAGGAATAATTTAATCCGAGAGTATATTATGGGACATGAACAAATAAAGGAGTACGTAAAAACACATTGGTGTTTGATGTGGTGATGGCTAACGAACGAATGAATTGGGGCTACGGTAAGAAATTCATACAAAAAGAAATTCAAATTCCAAATAGATTTCAAGTCTTAATTTAATTAGTTTTGATTTTGATAAGATTTTTTTTTATATCCTCATTAGATCAGGTTCAGTTTTAAACAATTTAAGTGAATCAAAATTTTTCGATGCGGAGTTGATTTAGGATTTAACTTCAGCAGTTTCGGATTTGAAATCAAACCTCGACGCTTATATTAATTTAAAATTATATATTTAACCATGTACACCTTGACTAATACATTACAATTTCTATCCCTAGTTGTTGTGGCCTCTCTCGGACAAAAATTTGTTTTTGATGCGAATTTTATACTTGCTTAATTATTGTGGAGATAATAATTAATGATGATATTTCCTATGTATAGTAATTATTATATTTGTTTTAAGTTCATGATTGGGGAAATCACTAGGATAAGAGAGTGATTGGAAAATGGCAATTAAATAGGTATAAGAAAAAGGTTTACTTTATGTTCAGTGAGAGTGTAGAATAAATCATATCAAGGCCTAAAGGAGCTGTCCTCAACTACCGGGCCTGAAATTTTCACAGGATAGTCAGGCACCAATATAGTTAAAATTCAGAATGGTATACTTTAGGCTCAATTACAAAATGATATAGGCTCCAAATCCAATCCTTCATATAGATGAAAGTTGAAATAGGAAGGTCATGTTGGAGTCATTTTCAGCTTGGGCTTAGCTTACCTTGGCCCTAGCTCGGCTTGACTATCAAGCATAGTTATTCTTCAAAAAAAATATTTTAAAAAGTATTTCAAAATTAAAATATATAATGTAAATTTAAAATTAATATATTTTGTGCCAAAATTAGAATAAATTTAATCTACACACACTTTATTTTTGAATAAATTTAAGCTGAGAGGTGCTTTCGACATAAAAGACAAATTACAAGAACTATAAGTATAATATGCCCAAAGTTTTGTACCAAATTCTCCTTTGAAACTATGTGCTGGTAGCATTTTTAATTAGAAGACATCTTAGTGGTTTTTTTTTTTTTTTTTCTTTTTTCATTCTCTATTTACTTTCTTTTTTTTTTTCTTTTCTAAAGTTTCTATTTCTATATACTTTTTTTTTATACCACTACTTAATAACAAGAAGCAGAGGTTTTACGTGAGTTCCACAAATGCTGCAATAGGGCAATAAATTTTTTTGGTACATCCTATCTCTTGCAATTAATAAAAATAAAAAAAAAATTAAAAAAAAAACTCAAATCTATATGTTGTCATTTCAAAGTCAATATTCAACCTAAACATAATAAAAATCCCATGTAATAACAAATAGGCAGTACCCATGCATGAGCGTTGAAGTGGTGACTCATTCTTATTTGCCCTAACTATTTCAATATAGTAATAACTAATACCAACTCTACAAACAAAAATAAAATAAATACACAAAACTTGTACAAAATTATAGGTTAGAGATTCTGCAGTCTGTGATCCTCTAGAGTGATTTTGCATAAAATCATGGTGGAGTCAACTTGTTTTTCCTTTTGTATTTTTGTTTTTTTTTATTTTTTTTATTTTTATTTTTTCGGTAAGGTTAAGGTTGGAGAGTTGAAAGGTGAAACGTGAAATGATTATTATACTTTTAATTTTTGTAGAATTAAAATTTGTGCAATTCAAATATAATCACTCTAGAGGATCTAGATTATAGATTGTGGCCTAGCACTTCAAAATAAAAAGATTATTTGGTACAACTTGTCTGAGGTGCGTATAGCTTTTTTTATTTTTATTTTTGATGTATCTGTCAAACTGTTTAGAGTATCTCCAACGGTTCACCTAATTTTTTATTAAATTTAAGTAAAAAAATGACCATTTTTTTAATTTGATACAGAATGCTCCAATGGTTGATTTTCATCAAATCTGCTTCAGGGACAACCGGTTGGTCGACCGGTAAGGCAAATTTTTTTTCTTTTTTTTCTTTTTTTTTGAATTTTTTGAACCTATCTATTTGAACTGTTTGAACCTTTTAGTAGTCGACCGGTTGGTCGACCGGTAATGCAACAAGTTTATTTATTTTTTTAAAATTGTTTGAACCTAACCATTTGAACTATTTGAACCTTTTAGTGGTCGACCGGTTGGTCAACCAGCCGGGCAACCGGTTGGTTGACCGGTTCCTCTCCTCTAACGGTCACAAATAGTAATTTGCTGAAATCTGTATCCTGTTCTTAGTTTGATGATTTTTTTGTTCAATTCTCAATTTGATACTAGTTTGGTGAAACTGTTGAAGCTTAAAAAAGTGTATTTTTCACCAAATTTCAAATTTGATACCAGGTTTGGTGAACCGTTGGAGATGGTCTTAGTATAGTTTTTACTTATTAGACCGAAATAATTGAAATAAATTGGACAAAAAAAAACTAATTTTCAAAAGGGTTGCGAGGTACTTTTGGTTTCTATTTTTGGATTATCAACTGTTAAGGATTATTTGGGAAGTGCTATATTAGCATACTTTTTGGGGTCTTTTAGGAAGAAAATAAAAAGGCGGCTTTTAGTTTTTTACTCATTTTAAATCACATCACATCTCACATTTTTTACTCACAAAAACACAAAATAGACGAAAAAAAGACAAAAAGTCAACTTTTTACTAACTTTTCAAAAGATTTCTTTATCTTTTTAGGTCATATTATCTCTCTATTTTTCTACACATCTTTTCATAAAAAATCAAAAAATATCATCTTTTAACATTTTTGAAACAATCCTTTAACTTAGAATAAGCTGTAAAAAGCACCATAGATTCCACTCAGATAAAAATAAATAAATAAAATAAAATAAAAAATTCTATGCCAATTGTAAAGGCAAACAGGGAGTGTTTAACGTACCTTAATAGACATATTGGGTGGTGGAGGCTTTGTAACAATGTAGAAAACAACCAAAGCAATCGCCAAACTCACCAAAAACCTCCAAATAATCTGTAAAGTAATCCAAACCAATGAAGAAGATGTACGAAAAGACAAGTACCTCCACCACCACCAACACCCTTTTTTCCCAAAATACTCCTCATCCTCCTCCTCCTCCTCTTCATCATCATCATCATCACCATCATGATCACAATCAACCCCATGATGAACACTAATCAGACGGTTCTCACCATTCTCAGTCCCAGTAGTCCCATGACTCTGAAGATCGTAGGCGATCTTTTTCTCATGCAAGAAGGAATTGTTGGATCCGCGAGAGGAGGAGTAGCGAGAGAGCGCGAATCGAGAGAGGTCTTGGGGTGGGTGAGTGGTGGCAGGGTTGGTGTTGGATTCGGATCGAAGAGGAGAGTGAAACGCGGATTCGTTGGAGGTTCGGAGATCGGCACTGTTTGAATGAGAGACCGTTGATGGGCTCTGTACGAAATAGAGTGCGTATGGGTAAGTGCGAAACAATGCTTCCTCTTCTGCGTCCATACGATGGTTATTAGCCATTTTGAGAGAGAGAGAGAGAGAGAGAGAGAGAGTGAATGGGAATGATATGTTCTGACATATGGGGAAAGGGTTCCTTTGGAGGGTTTTTAAACTGGAGAAAGTGAGGGTAGGCCATACTCAATGCTTTCATATCTGAAAATAAATAAAAAAAAGGTCGGATTTCACTCTCATGGTGCGATGTCAGGAGTGGGCAACGGTTTATCCGAACCGCTTAAACCGCCCAATCCGCCCAACTCGCATATAAATGGGCGGTTTCGCAAACATAATGCGGGTGGATGCGGATGCCGGTTGACATATTGACAAATTTGCGGTTGCGGAGCCGGGTCGCAAAGGTTTAAACCTACGCTCGCGCAACCCGCAAAAAACCGCCCGCACTTTGATTTTATTATTATTATTTATTTTTTTTATATCCCGCAACTTTTGTAACTTTTACAGGAGCACATTATATTCTCTATGACACTAAGATCCTTATTTTTAAGTAAATTTCTCAACTTTCTAATGCCGTACGAATTATCAAGCCTAAACTTGGTTTTCTTATTAATGATTTTTCAATTGTGATTTCATCTACTTTTCTAATGAAATTTTCCTTCTAATTGGGTCGATAAAACTTATAGTTTGATTATTGATTAACTGAACTGGCAATTCTAATTGGGTACAACTTTAATGCATTTGTATACATTTTTTTCATGGCAAAAAATGCTAGTGTAAAGGGTCTCTTTGTTTTGGATACTTTCATTTAATGCATTGATATTCAATTTTTATTTGTACTCATCAAAAAATTGTTGATCAGCATATATAAATGAATCTGATGCCTAAATTCGCTTAAAAAAAAGCTCGACAATTAATTTTTAAAGAACAAGTGTACGCAACCGCCGCAACCGCGCCGCACATTTGCAAACCCTATCCGCACAACCGCAAACCGCACCTGCGGGCCGGTTGCGGGTTTGACTTTTTCAAACCGGCATAGATGCGGGCGGTCAAACGCGAACCGCAAACTCGCACAAAACCGATGCCGTTCGAACACCCCTAGGATGTCAATATGACAGAAATTTGAAAAGGGTTCGCAAGTTTACTAACACGACTTCGTTTTTAATCGTCTGAATTATTTATTTTATAAAATTTATAATATATATTTAATTTATGAAAATTTTAGAATGATTTGATAATTTATTTTTTTTTATTGTATTACTATTTGTTGTAAAAATAGATGATCTATTTTAAATATATATTTGTCTTATTTTTCCAAAACCAAATCATAAATGAATACAATTATGATTGTTTGATCGACTAATTTTTTTCTCATGTATAATATACATTTGGTAGTTTAGAAACGAACTGTTTCAAATCATCAATGAGACTCGTGTTGGATGCTTACGGAATCCCTAAGGTTCTATTATGGTTAACAATCTCAATTAAGATAAGCTCAATAAAAAATAAAATAAAAATAAAAAAAATACAATCCATCTAACACCATTTTGAACGAAGTAGAAGCAGATATGCGACTAGACATTTAAAATAAATGGGTTATGTTTGAGAAGTTGGTTAAAAGTTGACTTTCTAGTTTTTTTATACTTTTTTTTTAAAAAAAATGTGTAATAAACAGAGAGATAATGTGACCCAAAACTAGGTTAAAAACTAATTTGGCTTTAATCAAGTTTCCCAAATTAGGCCAATAATAAATTTAATAAAAAAGATAAAAAAAATTAATGATCAATTTTTTTACATTTGTACGATAATGATTGTTAATGAAAAATATTTAATCATTTTATGAATTAAAAATATTTTAAAAATAATATAATTACATTAAAAATGATAAGACTTTATATTCGGCAGTGTCAAGAGATGCTACTTTTGTTTCTGGAATGCGAGCCTTGGTTATAAGCAATGGAGCGCCAGCCAATAAATATAAACTCGCTACGTAACTCGAAATTCAAAGCCTCGAAATGACTCGAAATCTCAAAACGAATCGTTGTAGAATTTTTTTTTTTTTATTCTCTTACCGGTAATAATATTTTTCCGTACCATTCCGACGCATTCGAGCTCTAACGCATTCGTAGCTACGGATCATTTTCGATAATAATAACTAATAGCAACACAAACATGTTATAAATTACAGTCTTTCACATTCTACGTTTTCACATTGAATATTTATTTATTTTATTACTATAACTAGAGGGTGCAAAAAAACTTAACTTAAAGTGAAAATTCGAATAGTAAATGTTAGACGCATAAAAAATGTAAAGTATAAATTAGGATATGTTGTCTGAAATTGGAGAGCTTTTATCGCATAAATCGACACCACGCCCAATTTTTAGTCTAGTTAGTATTGAGTCATAGTTACAAGTTTAATTTGTTTCTGTAATCGAATTGACTTTTGTTCAATTTTAGTATCTCCTCTTACTTGATAAGACAAGTTCAATTTCAAATTTTTTTAAGTCTGCAATTCTAAGTTCAACTAATTCTTAGCAATTGTGGCTCGATATTAAAAAACTCAAATCGACTTGTTTTGGTGCGCCTCTTATTCTAAGGAATTAATCTTTTTCATTTTTAGATATTTTTTTATAAGCAATATAAAATATTTTATATAAACCTAAATGACAAAACATTTTTAAGGTGAATTATTAATAAATTGCATAAAATATTTTCTTACTCAATATCAAGTTAATTGTTGATTATCTTTTTTATTAATAAATTACATGAAAAGTTTTCTCTATATCAGGATTGTGCCTCATTTCATAAACATAAATATCCGGCATCTTCCAGAAAATAAAAACATCATTTCAAATACTCACGTAATGCTACAGAACATCCTGTTGCTAGGGAAAGTTTTTTTTTTTTGATCAGCAAAGAAAAATTTCATTTAAACAGCATGAATTAAGGTACGGAAGAAGACGATGCATGAGAGAGATTCGGAAGTATAAAAATATCCTACTACTGCTACTCGCAATCCTACAACCAAACCCCTAAGCTCTCCCGATTTTTTTTTTTAAATAAAGTTAGCAAGAACTTAAGCTAACAAATTAAATACATGATCTTCACAAAATCACCCACAAAACTCCCAAACGGCAAAACTAGAGACTAACCAACAACCACAGTTACCGCGGACTGAAACCGCATACTAATCTGCTCCCAAAAAATAATGACCACGTAGCAGCTACTACCAGGCCTAAGCTGGCTCACGCACCACGCTGCTACACCCCACAGCTTAGCAGACGCCCGACCTGCACCCGCTCCTGCTTCCTGTGCAGCGCTCTGCACCCGCGACATCACCATGACAAACTCCCACGGGTGAACAACTCCTCTGCAACCTCAAAGCCGAACACCATGGCTGGACATCTCCACGCTGGGCTACAACTCCCCTGCGCACCACCTACACACACCACAAAACACCCACAGGTTCCTTCTAACTACACACCCAGCACCAGAGCAACCCAACGCCAAAAGCCTCAGGCAGCGCCCACACCCCTGCTGCTTACGCAACCCATAGCCCCCCAAGACTTTTTCTGCAAACTCAGCACCCGACCACTGACGCATGCCGCTGGACACCACCACAAACATTGGTAGAGATTTCACCCCTCAAACTCTCATCGAGGAGGAGCGCTCGAGTGAACACCGGA